AAATAAATAAATAGTTTCCATTTTTGAGCCCTTGCTACTTGTCCAGCACTACTGAGGCCCTCTCCACATGTCACTCCATTTATGCAAGTCAGCACCAAATCCTGCCAGCCCCATCTTCAACACACAACCAGATATCTCCAGTTTCTCACCTCCTCTGCTGCCAGCCCCTGTCCCCAGTCACTTCTTACCTGCATTGTTCCTGCAGCCTACGGTCTGCTGGCTTCTGCCTTTGCTCCCCTCTACAGACTAATTCCCCAGCAGCCAGGATAATTCCTTTAAGCACTCAACTCATCATAATTTCACTCCTGTTCAAAATTCCTCAAAACTTTCCATCTCACTGAAAGTTAGAAAAAGTCAAGAGTCTTCAAAAGGACCCACAAAGCTACCTATCAGATCTGTCCATGACTATGTTTACATCTTCACTTCCTACCACTCTCTGCCATGATGGTCTCCTTGAAGTTCTGTAAATGCTTGAAGCCTATCTCAGAGTCTGTAAGTAGTATACCTGGAATACTACTCCCCCAGATAGCCTCGTGGCCTGCTCTCTCACTTCCTTAGGTCTATGATGAACTGTCACCCTATCAAAGACACCCTCTTTGACCACACTATATAATGCTAACTAACCATCAGAGAGCTGCAGAATGAACTATTATATATCCACCCCATGGAAGACTATGCAGCTATAAAAAATGGATAAGGGTGATCTCTACAAACTGATAGGGAATGATTTTCCAGATGTATGGTTAAAAAACAAAAGTAAGATACAAAAGAAAACATAGAGTGTTACTTTGTTTAAGGGGAGTTAGAAATAAACATATATATCTATTTATAACTGCAAAAAGAAACAGGAAAGATAAGACAGAAACAAATGATATCTGTTACCAAGGAAGGTGAGGAAAGGATTTCCCTGAGTATATCTTTTTAAATAGTTTTGATTTGAACCATGTTAATATTTTACATATTTAAAAATTAAATCAAATGAGGAACCATAAAATTGAATAAAAACAGAAACAAATTAATGCAACTATATATCAAAGTGATACATGATCACACAGAAGGAAAAAAGAATCCAAGTAACTTTTAAAAATAATATTCTACACATCTTCACTAGGATATACAGACACTCCCTGACATACAATGGGGTTATGTCCTGAAAAACCTATTGTAAAGTTGAGAAATCATAAGTCAAACTATCATAAGCTGGGGACCATATGCATTGAAGGATAAAAGGAACTGCAAAGAAATCTTTAACTGTATTTAGTAAGTTTGTGGTTGGTAATGGCATTGGTATAGCAATAGTTATAGTACTTTGTGTTTAATGTAGATTAAGAAAATATACTGGTACTACTAAGAATAGAGTTCTCACCATGGGAGCAGGGAGACATAAATATGGAATGGCAAAAGAACTGAATTACTGGATTAGTCTTAGAGATATCAGGAAAAACTCATGACTTTGTAAAAATTCTATTTCTTAGCTTTGAAAACTGACAGGGCTGAGAAGCAATGACTCTAGTAGCCTTGAGCATGTCTAGCTCAGATCTTGATTTCTAAATACCATTCCCACTAAAAGAAACCAGGGAATCTAATGATTCCAAGGCTGAGACAGGAAAGCTATAAAATGAATCCAGAATACCTTTCTGTGTCAGGAAGTAAGGAAGTGCCCCAAACCAGACAGGAACATAGCAAAAGGACACTGAAGAGTAAAGGGGTTCCTGCTTGTCAAATTTGGGATCACTAAGTATTGAAATGGATAATGACAGCAATGTTGTCTTTAAAAACAAACACACTAACTAAAAAACAAGAGTTATACTAATGCTAAAAAAAATAATAATGGAAGGGGGTATGTGTGTGCACAAAAGCTATTCATTACTGAAGAATGTAAATTAATAAACGTACACAGAAAAATACCTGGCCCAGAGTCTTCAAAAATGGTTATGTCACAACATACCAAAAATATTGGCAATAGTTTTAGATTAAAGAGGATTAAGGAGCCATGATTGCCAAAGGAAGTGTGTGACACATGACGGGCTTCTGGATTTTCTATCAGAAAGCATTACTCTATCAATGCTATTAATATATTTCCTGACTGCAGCAATGATTCTGTGGTTTGCTGGAGAATGCTTTTGTTCTTAGGAGACACATGTTGAAGTATTTAAAGGTAAGGTACCATGAGGTCTGCAAATTCTCAAATGGTTTAGCAAAACCAAAACAAAACAAAAAAAGTGTGCGTATATCGAGAAAGTAAAACAAATATGACAAAACGTTGACTGGAGGAAAAAGTATGTAAGTGTTCATTGTACTATTCTTGCAACTGTTATGAAGATTTTAAGTGTTCCAAAATTTTGAAAAAACTTAAAATATCAAGCACTTCTATCCCCCCTTTTTTTGTTTTACTAATCTTTATACTAGTAAATGCTTTCTTTATCACCATCCAACATCTATGTATTTATTCATTTATTTACTTACTGTCTCCCTCCCTCACTGATGTGAGCTTCACAAAGGCAGGGAACTATCTGTGCCTTGCCGTATCCCCCGTCCTTTGTCAGTGCCTGACATATAGTTGACACTCAATAAATATTTGCTGAATGACTGAGGTTCATAATAATCCTGTGAAGTACATATATTATTATCTTTTCCCTTAAAGGGAAGACACTGACAGTGGTTTACAGTTGGTTGAAGTGTTTCAGTGCAGCTGATTTTTCTCACCCATGTTCTCACTGTTCACATCCCCAGTAGAAAAATAAAGATGCCATAAAGGAGAAAAAAAAAAAAAAAGGAAGACACTGAGATAAACACAAGTTAGGTAACTTATGAAGTTAGGTAACCTGTGTAAGTTTATAACTCAGAACTTGTAGGGGTGGGGCCAGGGCCCCAAACCAGGCATCTGACCCTGGAGCTGATGCTGTCAATCACTGTGTTTGGCAGCTCCTCTAGTGAGGCAGGCTCCGCCCTCAAAGGGCCGACCATTATTACTGATAGAAAGAAGACTAAACCACTCAGTCTCATCCTCAGTTTAAGGCCTACACAGAGCAGCTTATTGATACATACCTGCTGAATCAAATGCTCTCTGAAGGAATACATGACTTAGGTGGGAGAGACCACCATGAAGGGACTGTTTAAAGAATCTTCTGAAGGAGGGGAGGTGGAGCTTAATGCACAAACTGCGTTTGCAGTGGAAGAGAAAACACAGGTATAGGTGGCAGCGACCACAGGTGTCCAGGAAAGACAGACCAGCTTGTCTGGAGGAGTGTTTCCCCATCCAATCCAAGTCTGTATGCATCTCTTCTTCCTCCTTTCCCACAGCCACCAGCACATAAACTCATCACAGCTCTTGGGCCCTGGGATGGTAGTCTGCCCTGGCCTCCTGGCCTTCCTGCTCCAATTCCTCCTGACTGCAATCCTTCCTCTTTGTTGCTGTTGGACTGTCCTTCCCAAGCACATGGTTCTAATCCTGTCAGGCTCAGAAACACTCTTTGTCTGCAGAAGACAATCAAACTCCCCAAAGGGACATTCAGGGCTCTGCCACGGGGCCTCAAGCTCCCTTGGGCACACCCACTGTCGCACTGAATGACAATCATACAGGTTCACTGTGCACATGCCTGCTCCCTCGTTTTCTTACCTTTTCTTGCCTCTTCCTGGAACCTTTCCCTGCAACATCACATATCCACGTACCACCTGTCCTCAAAGGCCAGGTTCAAATACCCACCCTTTCATGAAGCCTTTGCTTCACAAAAGATATTTGATTTCGCCAAATATACTGCTTTCTTCCCTCTGCACTCCCATGGAACTTTATTTTTAACCTCTCTTGCAACACTGACTTCTTCACCTGATCACATAGGTACTTTTGAGCACATCTCAACCCCTCCCCTCTGGGCTGTCTTCCACGGATGCATGTACCTCATGGGGCACGCAATAAACGTTGAACAAACGAGCGGATGGGCATGGAAGACTGATTTGGTAGTCAGGCACCCAGAGTTCACCGCGGGGAAACCCTCAAGTAAAGACGAATAAGGAACCAGCGTGTTATGGCTATGACTTCACGGAGTGGCCTGTGTGTGGAGGGGTGGAAGAGGGTGGAGGGGTAAAAATGGAGAGGAAGACGCCTACTGCATAGGGCTGTGACGATTCAGCTGGAGAAGAAACATGGAAAGGATGGACACAGTTCTAGACACTGGTTCTCTTATGTTTTGAAGGGAGGAGAAAGGAGCAGTGGTCACACTGCTTACGAATCCGGAGGTGAGGCCGTGGCCCCCTTCTCACTGTGTGGCGCCTCTGAGAGGCCACAGCCGGTAGGGCCCAGCAGCGCCCCCGCTCAGCCCGAGCGGACGAGGGCGCGGAGGACCGCCAGGCCTAGTTCTCCGCGCAGGCGGCACCCCGAGCAGGTGGAACCCCGCGCAGGAGGGACCCCGGGCAGGTGGAACCCCGCGCAGGAGGGACCCCGGGCAGGTGGACCTCGGGCAGGTGGAACCCCGCGCAGGCGGGACCCCGGGCAGGCGGAACCCCGGGCAGGAGGGACCCCGTCCTGGGCGAGTTCACGCGCTGGGGAAGTAGCTTTAAGTTCCACTCAAGTTTTTGGCGATAGCAAGAGGCTCGACAGTCACTGGAGAAAAGTCACACCCTTCCGGAAGAGCACTGGGTGGCGAGCCCAGCCCAGACGGCGGCAAGGGGCCTTAGGAAGATTCCCACAGAGAGGGAAGAGCCCCGAGACAGCTCTGGAAAGGAGAGCGCACCGGACTTTGGTCCCTTCCCTACAAAGTTCCTGCTTGACAACGTGAGCAGCACTTGGAGATGAAATGACAACTTTACAACTTTTCCTTCCTGAAAAGGCTCCCTCTGGCTGAGTTGCCCCAGACACTCCGCACCGCCCCTCTCCCCACCTGTCCCGGCCCGTAGCCGCCTCGGACCCTGCCTGTCCGCCCTGCCCAGCCCTGGGGACAGCCCAGGAGATGCCCAGTGTCCGCAATCGCAAAAGGCCCGGGGAGGGGGGAGGCTCCACTCACCTAACCGAAGCAGCAGGTAGACCAAGAGGACCCCCAGGGCCCACCCTGTGCCACTCCCTAGGACCATGGCACGACGGGCAGGACCCTGCCCAGGACCTGGCCCCGCGCAGTCGCCAACTTCCGGTGGAGGCTAAGCCAAAATCAGGCTCCGGCCTGGCGCAGGGCGCTCGCCTGTCGTCCCAGCAATTCGGGAGTTGGAGGCTGCCGCGAGCTACAATGACACCACGGCTCTCTACTCCAGGCGACAGAGAGAGACCCTGTCCCCTCCAAAAAAAAAACAAAAAACAAGCCGAGCTCCGCGGGCCCTGCCCGCCCCGCCCCGCGTCTGCGCGCGCGTCCTCCTCCTCCCGCCGCCGCCTGTCGCCGTCCCGGGCGGCCGTCCGGTCTCCCGTCACTACGCCGCCCGTCCGCTCCTTTTAAGGAAGAAAGACACGCCTTCCTACTAAAGAGTGGCTTGCGTTTCATAAAAAACCAGATGTCTTCGTTCCTCCCGCACTTGCAGCGCTTTTCCTTCGCGTTGGGGCGAGCCGGAGGCAACCTGGGGCTGGGGGCGCGCGGCGGGGCGGGGGCGCGCGGCGGGGCTGGGGGCGCGCGGCGGGGCGGTGCCGTCCCCGCCCCCGAAGCTCGCCCGCTAGGCCGCCGTCCGCCCGGACTTCAGGACGGGCGGAAGCACCGACCGGCTCCCAGGCACTTCGTTCCTTTCAGCGAGTGCTCTGGGACTCTGGACAAAACAGCCTCTTTGAGCCGCTTTTTCTTCAAGCATTAAAAGGAAAGGGGACATTTTTAGACGACTGTTCGAATGTGAGGGGCTCCTGGTGCACCCCCCCACACACACACCCTTTTCGACCTGGACCGCCCCTCCACCGACCGCTGCCAATATTCCCTTGCTGGGATTTCCAGATTTTAGTTTCTCCTTTCTTCGTTCCTCTTTGGTTTTCAAACCTCTCTTCCTCCATCTCAACTGTGGACTTTCCGTCAGACTGGGGTGTCACATCCATTATCCCCCTCATTATCTGGCCTTCCAGCAGGCATTTATAACGCTCCCTGTTGGTTAGCCTTGACTGGGCTTACCCTTCCCTCCAATCCATCAGATCCCAAACCAGCCCTATTCCCAGAACCAGCTCCCCACACCAGCCTCCCTGTCTGCCCCTTTCTTGCAAACAGAGGCACCAGTTGCCCCTGCTCAGCTGAAGGCTTAAAGAGAACTCTTAGTTATCATGTGAGCAGGAAACTATTTTCACAAACAGACTCCCTGCTGCCCAAATAAACACCAGAACACATTGCAAGTTGAGTGGAAATGTGCTTTTCGTGTTGCCATCATCTCCATTATCCTTGGGTGGGGCAGTCAAAATCACTCAAGACACTGGAGCCTTACTGCAAAAATCCATGAATTATTTAAATTAGCCATAAAATCCTAAAAGATATCTCTGCCAATGAAATTTCTGGGACCGATGTCCCATAGCATGAAGCCTGCTATCTTAAGACATTCTCTATCATCTACAGATACTGGGAACACAAGGCAGGTGCGGTGTGTAGTGTAAAATGTGAGGAAATTAAGTTTCTTTTCCGCCGGGTGCTGGTAGGAACCTGGCCAACTTGGAAAGGCAGGATGGGGTCAGACCTGTAGACACTGGGGAGCCGCAGAAAGGTTTTCAGCTGAGAAGTGATATGACAGCGGACATCTGTTCAGCACTCACTATCATCCAGGCCCTGTGTTAAGAGCATTGCCCGGATCAATTTAATTACTGTGTTTGGCTTTACAAATGAGGAAACTGAGGCTCAGAGAAAGTAAATGACTTACCTAAGGACACACATATAAGGGGCAGAACTGGGAATCCATCTGAGGCCAAGCCCAAAGCCTCCGTCTGCTCTTACCCTTTCCTATAGGAGCAGGATGTGATGGCAACTTCTGGACGGGCAGCCGTGCTGTCATTCAGACAGGGCAGCACGCACTGCCAAACCCCTCGGGGGGCAGTGTGGAGGAAAGAACTGCCCAGCCACCTGGGCAGGTCAAGGTCCCTAGGCACTGGGCAAGGAATGATTCCCTAGGCCTTCCTTGGTTGGACTGTCCTCTGACCAAGGAGCAGCGCCACCTCTTTCATTAAGAGAAATGCTGTGTCTCCACCAAGCATTTCTAGAGGCACTTACATGCCTGGCCTCGCAGACTTCATGAATCAAAAGGCTCAGGAAGACTGGACCTGCAACGTATTAGGCAGACAGCCAAAAAGGCTCCCTTCGTATATTGAGAACTTGCCACCAAGAGGATGGCTGGACACATTTTTCATCCTGTGACCAGCGTTATGAGGTCCAGTTTTATCTTCTTGTCACTGGAGATAATCACGGATGAGAAGGTAAGAAAGGAGGGCCCATTCAGCCTGCTCAAGAGGCTGGGGCTGCTCTTCCTAGCATGTCATTCGTGCGCTGGCGCTAGTTCCTGCCAAGCCCTTGGAACTGCTCCCACAAAGCTTAGGAATCCCAGAATGTGGTGAGCAAAACACGGCCCCTAATCCTGCACAAATGTAAATGGTCATTTTCATTGTAGCCTCACTTGGGAAGCGTACATTCACTTCATTTATATAAACACTGCATTTGCACAAAAGGCATAGAGGGGGTAGTCTTATTCCATAATACTCTATTTCCCTTTTTAAAATGTTCCCTGGCAGAAAGAGAACGTTTGAAAAAAAAATAGGCAAAAATAATACATAAGGCTTAACACAGAACCACTGTGGGTACCCAAGGGATAAACAGTCACAATTTCAAGTCCTGGCCAAGCCAGCAGCTGCAAGAAGTTGATAAGGATGCAGCAGATGTGGGAGCGGAGGAAAGCACACATTAAAGCCTTTGCAAGTCCTGGACTTAGAAAAAAAGGAAAGAAGCACCTCCCTTTCCTTTTTACTCTGTATTTAGTTCCTTTGCATGTCTTAAAGAATTACAGATGTGTTCTCACTAATCATGTGTCACCGCTATGGCTTTAATCATTCTAACAGTCTCACCACCTTGCAGATGTGGTAAACTCCTTCCCACACTGGAATTGTGCAGAGACTGATGTGCTGTGCAGTCTCACCACACAGGAATGTACAGCTCTTCCTCTTCCCTCCATGCTGGAAAATGCTTGCTATTTCACGGCCAGGGCAGTGCTACAAAGTTTGAAAAGGATGGTGTGCTCCTGCTGCAGAAGCCGTGGAGGCCAAGAAGGCTGTCCCATGTTCCTGCTCTCTTCCTTATCAGTCTCCTCTCACCCCATCCTTCTCCCCAACCCACCCAAAAAAAGGGGAGAGATTATAAGATTTTTTTTTTTTTTTTGAGACAGTCTCATTTTGTTGTCCAGGCTAGAGTGAGTGTCGTGGCTCACAGCAACCTCAATCTCCTGGGCTCAAGTGAGCCTTCTGTCTCAGCCTCCCGAGCAGCTGGGACTACAGGCATGCGCCACCATGCCTGGCTAATTTTTTGTATATGTATTTTTAGTTGGTCGATTAATTTCTTTCTATTTATAGTAGAGACGGGGTCTCGCTCTTGCTCAGGCTGGTTTCGAACTCCTGACATCAAGCAATCTGCCCGCCTCGGCCTCCCAGAGTGCTAGGATTACAAACATGAGCCACCACTCCCAGCCTATAAGATCTACATTCTAAACCTGCCTTTCAGGCTCCAGGTATGCTGTGTTGCCCAACTCTAGGGGCAGCATAGTCTGGGCCAGGGGTCCTCAAACTTTTTAAACAGGGGGCCAGTTCACTGTCCCTCAGACCGTTGGAGAGTGCGCACTGTGGGCCCAGGACAAGTTGGCTGCTACGCAGGACAGGCAGCTGCGGCAAAAACACCTGGCTGGCCGGCTAAATGTCCTAGGCGGGCGGCATGTGGCAGGCGGGCCATAGTTTGAGGACGCCTGGTCTGGGCAGTCAGGGTGGGGCTGTATATTTATTATGATGCATTTCAGCAGATGGCAGCAAAGTGTCTTGAGGAAAGTGTGTTCATCATCTGTACAAGCGCACTGCTGAAGCTGGGCATAGGGCAAGGTAATAAAGGTTGGAAATCATGGACCTTGAGCCTAGCAGACCAGTGCCAAGGGCGGAACTGCAGGCCCCGACAGCACAGTTCTGCAGAGGCAAGTGGCTGATAAAGCGAGGGGAAAGAACGATAGAGGACTCCAGTAAATGTGAACAGCCATATTTTCAACATAATTTACTACAGGTCTCTGAAGTGTATATAAAATGTTTTAGTGCAACATCTTACAAATAGTTTTCCTTTAAAAAACAAAAACAAATCAACAGCTCTCTACATCATGCATGGGTAGTTTTCTTACCCCATCTCTTTTTTTTCTTCAAAAATTAACGCAGAGAAACCATTGTTTGAAAAGAATATGAAAACTTGCTACAGAAACACCCTGGTGAAAGAGGGTGTGGTCATGTTCATGTCCTGGAATGCGCCTAGCACAGTGTAGTTTTTCATAAATGCAACATTGTAGACGTAGATGAGTCAAGAGAGTAGTATTAGGCAGTTTTCCTCTCCCGTCCTCAGAAGACAAAAGCTCCAGTAGACAATGTGCAATGAGGTCTCACAGCCACTGGAGGGCACCATTACCATTCATCTGACACCACATTTCCATAGAAATGGCCAAAGAAAGAAGGTCCTGGGGTTTTTCATAGAAAGCTGGAAAAGCTCAACCATCATTGGATGGCATGCCCCAGCCCAAGAGAAAATGCACAGAAAGAGCAATTATTAAAATACTGGCTTCGGTTTCTTTTTTCCTTTCAACTTTCCTGTAATTGCTTCACATATTTAGTTTCGTGCAGCACCTAGTTTTCTACTGCTGTGAACCAATTCAAACTGAAATCTTAGCTACACATCCCAGTCCCAGCCAGCCCTCTGGCATCCTTCCAGTCAGGCAGATGAAAAGTCAGTCCTCCTCCCTCATTGACTCAGCCTGTAAAGTAGGAGTCAGCAAATTCCCACTGAAAGCCCACATCCCTGAAATGAAGAAATGGGGCAAAAGACCTTCTTTCTTCATGACTGAGCCGATTCCGTACTTCTAACATGTTGATGCAGCATAATAAATGAGAATCAGCATGCCAGGCAACAGCAGGATTAAGGTGGTGGTGTCTGCACACTGTCTCGCAGGAGAGTACTGGTGAACCTGCGAGGGGAAAGGCAAGGCCGTGTAAGCCTGTCAGAAAGTAGCTGAGCAACTGCCTGGTCCCCTCGGCCTGGCTCGGCAATGCACCTGCTGATCAGTCCAGGCCGCCTGCACGCCT